CTATTGGCAGGCGTCTAAGGAATAAGATCATTAGACTTCATTATAGTGAGGGAAGCTGGATAGAGGAACCTGAGGAGCTGGAAAATTTGGTTGTGGAGTTCTATAGGGCAGCTGGCAGCTCTCCCACTTGCAGAGGAAATATGGCACATTATTAAGAATATGGGAGGGTAAAAAGCCCCTGGAAAGGACAGATTTCACGCTATCTTCTACCAACGATGTTGGGAAACTATCAGGGAAGATGTCTATAAGCATATTACCAAGTGTTTCCAGAATCCCGAGTCCTTAAGGGCATGCAATGCCACTCTCATCACCCTTCTACCAAAAGTGGACAGCCCAAGGAACATTCAACAGTTTAGGCCTATCACACTGTGTAATGTGATTTACAAGATCTTTGCAAAATGTCTTGCTAACCGTCTCAAGAGCCTGAGCCAAAGTTCGTGGAGGAGAACCAATCTAGCTTTGTGCCGAAGTGCCATATTAAGGACAACATCGTTATCCTACAAGAGGTCGTTCATACTATGGCTTCGAGAAAGGGAGCTAAAGGCCTCATGGTCGTCAAGATTGACTTGGCCAAGGCTTAAGACAGAGTGGATTGGTACTTCCTCCGCTCGACTCTTGTAGCTGCAGGCTTACCTGATGACTTTATCTCACTAGTCATGGCTTGCGTCACCACAACCAGATTCCAGATCCTTTGAAACAGTAGCTTCACAGAGGGTTTCTCCCCGTCTCGAGGACTCAAACAGGGATGTCCTTTGTCCCCTTACTTATTTACCTTATGCATAGAACGATTAAATCACTCTATTAAATCCTCGGTGCAGAATGGTGTTTGGAAGCCTATTACTTTGTCTAAGAATGGCCCTACCTTGACTAATTTGTTTTTTTGCTGATGATCTGGTATTGTTTGCAGAAGCCAATATGAGACAAGGAAGATGCATTATGGATTGCCTTGACCAATTTTGCCAAGCCTCTAGGGAAAAGGTTAACAAGGACAAATCGTGTGTGTTCTTCTCAAAGAATACCAAGGACCAAACTAAGGATCGCATCAGTAGTCTTATGGGGATACCACACACCAACAACCTGGGAAGATACTTGGGAGTACCAGTCATCCATGCAGAGTGACCAAAGAAACATACAAATACATCCTCGAGAATATTGACAGGAGACTGGCAGGATGGAAAACGAGGAAACTTTCACTGGCAGGCAGAGTGATATTAGCAACCTCCGTACTCAACACTCTCCCTAACTATGCTATGCAGACTATGGTGTTGTCGTACCATGTGTGTGATGAGATTGATAAGAAAATAAAAGGCTTTGTATGGGGGGCTGAAACAGAAAGTTTAAAGTACACTTGGTTCAATGGGAGAAGATCTGCAAGTCTAAGGATCAAGGCGGCCTGGGGTTACGGTCAGCAAGGGCTCTGGATCTCACTTATATGATGAAACTAAGTTGGCTCTTCCTTAACAACGAGGCTAAGTTTTGGGTCAAAGTTTTGCAAGGAAAATATGTTACAGAGAATGCAGATGGAACTATGCCAATTATGAAGCAATGTACTATTTGGAGCAGTGTTATTAAGACCAGATCGAGCCGGCCGGTCGGACCGCTAAAGTCGCCACCCGTCCGCAAAACTAGCTCGGGCCAGTCATTTAGCCGCTACGGTTTTATAGAGCGGCTGGCGAGTGGCCGAGGCGGTTAACCACTCGAGTCGCTCGGTTTTCCCCTTATGGCAGTTGTGTTTAATAAAAAAAATTAAAAAAGAAAATTGAAAATTGAAAACAAAAGGCAAAATCGTGGGGTTGGGAAAGAAACCCTAACTCTAATTCAGTTTTCATCTTCGACTCTTCGTGAACACAGGGAGAAGAGCAGCTTCGACTCTTCGTGAACACAGGGAGAAGAGCAGCGCCTGCCCTGCCGCCGTCAACACTTCCCGTCTTGGATTCCCGCCGGCATCGTCGCCATCCCTAGCCAGCGTCCCAGCTCGCCATCGCCAGTCTCCGTCCCCTATTCTCGTAGCAACTCCCCCGCTCTGTCGTCACTTCCCGTCCCGATGAATTATGACAATAATATGTGTCACTAAGTACAAATTAAATACCCACTAAATTATCCGCCAAATGGTCTACTTACAAATGCAAACACTCCAGTTTCGTCTCATTGGACGGCTGAATTTCTCACGATTTAGACGCAGACATACATATTATACATTTATAGGAAAAAGGGCTACCTATGTTCACATTTATTTTATGTATTTGAGATATTTCAATAGATAAACCGTCAAATATTATTTTTTAATTACACGAATCTTATGGTTAGGGTCCAAGATTTAGTGTTGGTGTTCACCCATTAGATATAAATGTGCAATATCATGTATCAAACTCTAATTAATTCTTGATCTGAATAACGAAACTCTATGAGTGTACGACAAAATTAATGTACGCCATACATATATGTTTTGGATTTGTTAAGAGTTAAGATTTTAATTTACTAATTTAGTCATGGTTTACCATGATTAAGAAGTGTCTACTATTTAAATTGATTGTTTATTAGTCTGGAAGTGTGCAAAACCAAACTGAATACGACATTTCCTTTGGTTGGCTCCCCATGACAGACTCATGACCAACTGCGAGAGAAAAAGAAGGAAACTCTGCGAATATAATGAGTGCAACCTTTGCAAGGAGTCACCTGAATGAACAGAACACATCCTTCGCGAATGGCGGCTCACCAAACAGTTATGGCAAGAACTTGGTTTAATGGACACTACACTCACTCATGGCCTGGGTTTTGCATAATGGTTGTCTGCCAACCTGAAGAACTCAAACACTGGGTTGCTGTTCGGAGTTGCGGCGTGGCACCTGTGGAAACGCAGAAATGAGTGGGTCTTCGAGCAAAAATTCCAGGAAGCAGCCACCCTTTCTCACCGTATCCAAAGCTGGACAACTACGATCTCCCAAGCACAAGCCCTCACCAAGGATCTCCTCAACACAGATGTCACGAAAACCTACCAAGCCTTGGCCTGGCAAGCACCACCACAAAGATTGGATTACTGTCGAAACTGATGGCTCAGTGAAACAACCAAGTTCTGTGGCAGCAGCAGGAGGGTTACTCAAGAACCACGAAGGAACATGTATGGGGGCCTTTGTCGCCAACCTTGGAACCTTTACAATCACGAGGACGGGAATTTTTGGAGCACTGACGGGTTTGCAAATGACTTGGGAGTTGGGCTTCAAGAAGATTCTGTTAAGGCTGGATTCTATAACCGCAATCAATCTACTGTCAACACAACAACAGGAAAGTCGAGTTTACCATAACTTCACTCGTAAATTCCGCGACATGTTCCATCGAGACTGGGAAGTGACTATCTCCCACACCTATAGAGAGTGTAATAAAGCGGCGGATTATATTGCCAACAAGGGACATTCTTTCAGCCTAGGGGTGCATAGCTCTGATATCTTTGATCTTGGTTTGAATTTTTGGTATTTGTATGATCGCATGGGCATCGCCCAAAATCGTTTAATATAAGTATCAGGTAGGGGCTCCCTTTTAGCGTCCCATTTTCTACAAAAAAAAATACAAAGTTTGTACTTCTATTTATACCGCCCTAAAAACTACAAGAAGAACGAGAATCTAATAACTAGAGACACTCTCGAAGCAAGGGATCGTCCAACGAATCTTTTATAAAACGATGAATAAGTTGATGGATCACCACTTCAGAATCACCTTCAATGATGACTTGTGACAGATTCCTAGAGATAGATAACGAGATGGCATACCTGGCAGCAAGATAAGGATTTGAAAACTCTTTGGTGCAAGGAACCCAGGGCCAGACGAACTTGCTTGTCTGTCCCATGCAAGACAAGGCCGAACGAGCAACCAGATTCGCGAACGACAACATTAAAGTTGATCTTCATAAAGTCTTCAGACGTGCATTCCCAAACGACAGGGAGAGGGGGCGCAACACCGGGGCGAGTAATCAGAGGAGGAAAGGAGGCATGAGAGAGTTCCCGGACTTGGAAATGGAACTGACGGGCAAGGGAACAAACTTGTGGCTGAGTGTATTCAAAAACCACCTTATTACGAGCCTTTTAGATTCTCCAAATAAAGGCAAACGCATGGGAGAATGTGTTTGAAAGCATAACACGTCGACACAAGATACAAAATTTTTGAAGTTGGGGCGGAGGCACGCAAATCTGTTAAACCCACTAAATGCCATTGGAAAAAAACAAGGGGGCAATGAAAGAACAAATGCTCAATATTCTCCCAACAAACTGGACATCAGGGAAAACAATTAATTCCTCAAGATCTAAGCGCTACCATAGTAGGCAAAACCACCTTAAGACATTGCCAAAGAAAAAATTTCAGCTTCAGATGTATGCCAACTGCCCAAGTTCTTTTTCAAGTAGGGGAGATTTTATAACTTTGTGTAACCATATGTATCAATCAAGTTGATTCATACTTGAATGCATAAAAAGGAGTTGTAGCCTAATTGTAGAGTGTCTTATTTGGTGTTTAATAGGTGGTGATCAGTTCAAAACCGAAAGAGTTTCTCAAGTGTTATTTTTAGCTTTGAACCGAGTTGGCAGCTCGATGTCATTTATACATATCGAATCGACTGATTTGGTTCTGTTGTAACAACATTAGTATTGTATAATGTTTAATTGATGATATACATGATGAATTTTAGCCATAGCAATATTGAATATACGTGACAGGTTTTAACAACGGGCACTCGAAAAGCGCAGATGAGGTTGTAAAAACCTATGGGGTGGGTATTGAGATATGAGGATATGGTTAGTCATTCTGTATGGTGAGTGATATTAAGTTCAAATGACTTGAGATTGAAATAACGATATGTGTTATTGTTGAATAAGTTGATCTTTCGTCAATTTAACAAATTCAACTCCTTTATATATATATATATATATATATATATATATATATATATATATATATATATATATATATATATATTCATCTGGGGTGTTTCAATGATAAAAAAATGATAAAAAAAAAAGAAATCAATACTTTGACACGAGAACAAAACAAGGGACAACCCAGATGAAACAAAGCACCAGACCTCGTCCTGGTCCAAAACAACTACCACGAAACAAAGGAGGAGTACCAAAAGGCAACAGCAAAGCTAAATAGAAAAGTGCAATCCAGCCTAAATCTAGATCGAAAGGCTCCTTCTTCAGGAGGACGGCACAGTAGGATTGGAAGCTTTGAGAGCACTCTGCCGAATGAACCGCAACGTCGCCACCATCTTCTCCTTAGGAGGCGCAATCTCCTTCACCACAGGAATCTCTCTGATCCCCTGCAACCACGAATAAACCAACAGAGCCTTCTTCTCCCAATCCACAATCTTCACCCCCAACACCTCCTCCCCCAAATACGCCCCGAAACACCAACACATCACAATCTCCAGCATCCCCGCACTAATCCCTAAATGAGGTCGACCGAATCCTAACTGAGATCGACCGGAAAGTGCAAGTCACCGTGACATGCATGTCACCGTAGGTGCACCCAAAAGTTTAATAATGTGGAAAAGGGTATATTTTCACAATATATTAACAATTTGGAATTCGAGCAAAAAACTAAATTGAAGTTCAAGATTATTGCCACAAAAGAAGTCCAAGATTATTAGTAAATGGTCTTTGGGCTTTCCATCCCGAGTACTTCTACAAGTCTATAGTTACGTTGATGTAAAAACAGAAAGGATAATAATATCCAGCAACCAGAAGCATCGAGACGGTGGATGATTCTCCTCAATTCAAATGTGTCAACTCTTCCTGTTCGACGTCGAGTACTGGTCGTCATATCTCTCCAACGCCGGAACTCCTTGTTTCCTCCAAAATGAAGTATCTCTATAATCTCAGAGCCCTATCTCACTACCCGTTACTTTCATTTTAAGCTCGACCGACCTCAATTAATCGGCAATCTCCTTCATCCATTTAGAGCCGATGGTCGCAATGTTCTCGCCTCTCGTTGAGTCAACTCTTATTTCACCCATTCACCCAATTAATGGCTCAAAGTTTCTTTTCAAACTCTATGCAAAATGGTAATTTTAATCGGATCCGCGTTCTCCCACAACAAATTCGCGTTTCCGCCGAAACTTGCTAGAAATTCGTGTTTTGACGTATTGGAGCGTGAACGTGGGCTTGGAACCCACAAATTGGATATCCTAAGTCCGGCCGAACAGATGCGTGTGGCTGAAACCTATTCTGTTTTTGTGGGCCGCAACAATCTCTGGGCCCGTTCAAGTCCGCACGTGTATGGTGAGTTGGCCCGTTCCACAAAAGAAAGAGAAAAAAATTAGCACTACCTATTCAACCCTTACTACAAACGCTCCTGGGCAGCAAATTTGAAATGGGGAAATAGTTTTTTCCTTGCTGCTAAAATAATCAAATACAACTAAAATCATCAAAGTATGAAAATCAAAGTATCCAAACCAAATAAGTACTTACGAGAAATTCAGTGACCGGCTAATCGTTGAAAAAGTCATATGATTTTCAGAATTTAGGTTCATGTATATTTTTAATTTAAAAAGATATAACAAATATACTTAGTGTGAGTGGTTATGATTCTTGCTTTTCTTTAAAGTGACCATGGTTCAAATTCCAGTATATGTCTTTTTTATGAATTAATAAATAGGAAATAAGCAATTGTAAAGACCAAAATGTTCTTTCTCAATTCACTTTCGTTGTTGCAGGTAATGTAAAATAAAGCAACAATTTTTCACTTAGTGCTATTATATTATGGGTAGATATATTCATCTGGGGTTTTCAATCCCTCTATAATATATAGCGGTTCTTCAGGAGATTTTGAGCATTTCAAATTCCTTGCACTCTCCTTAATTGTAGCTAGGGGTAAATTTGTAAGTTCAACTTAGAACTTAAATATCTTCTTACGAGAAAAAAAATGTCATTACCAAGACTTGAACTCGAGTCCTTCAGATTGATAGTCAATATCCCTAACCAACTGAACTACAACAATGTTTATGTATTTTTTGAATTAATGAGAGAAAATGCTGAAATATCTCAAAAACATACTACTATCCTCTGCAACAATCAATCATCGAATTACTTAATAATTGTAATTATTTACAAAGTGAGTTCCTCTGATCACACAATTCTTCACCAAGAATCAAATAGTACATTTTGAGTTTATGTATGTCTTACAACTTTTACATTTATTAGGTTACATGACTTTGCAGTTTGTAGGAATACAATGATTGTTTACAAAAGTGCTATACAAAATTTTATTTCAAAACATAAAATTTGACATTTGTGATATATGGTTTTGTAACGAGACATTTTCAATGCTATAAGTGGATGACCAAAAATCATTGGCTAACAATTTCCCTAATGATTGACAATTATAAGCACAGAATTGAAAGACTAAATACCATTGACAAATGAGCCAATTATCATTGGCTAAATTTAACAAACAATGGTATGTGTATATACATTGGAAATTCTATGGTACGCTCGATGGATTGAGGGTTATTGCTTCTCCTTAGTTAAATAAAATTATCTAGACCATAGATTAATCACGTAACTCAACCTATCATAATTCTCTAAATCTTAATATAGTGCATATGGTATGTTGTATACATCTTAGCGAATCAGGATCACTGATTATGTTCTTAGTATATGTGATATTAGGGTTTAAGTTCTATAGATTTAGGGTATATGATTTAATTATTTGAAACTTAATCTCCCTTTTCAAATTTCCCGCAATGAGAGGGAAATTAGGAAGGACATTTTTGTCTTCACAATTATGTGTATTTTTTATTTATTTACAGAAAAAGATAGGCATATTGAGTTTGAACCATGGTCACTTCAAACAAAGTGAAGGTTTAAAATCAACCAGACTATGTAGATTTGTTGTCTTTTTTTAAATTAAAAATATATACGAAGTTAAAATATGAAATCACAGAACTTTTCAACAGTTAGCTAGCCCAATAAATATTCGGTAACTACTTTTTGGTGTTTTGATACTTCGATTTTGATATTTTTTTATTTTAATTATAGTATAATACTTAGTTTAAAATTTTATCTATCTTATAAATAGACGATAACCATAAATTTGCAACCAAAATATTGTTGGTTCGAATATTTCATATCTAATTATAGTATTGAATATGTAGAAGCGATATAGAATTCTTAAATTACCATTAATTTCCAGAACTATAGTGAAGCAACCATATCTTTATGCAAACTATAGGGGACTGGTTCTCTGAACATTTTTGTCCGGTTAAATACTAAGTTTTGAAACTCTTCCTAGGGGTGTGCGTGAGTCGGTTCGTTTGGGTTTAGATATTTTAATCACTTAACTCATATACCACATTTTGAAAACACAAAATACAAACTCACCCAAATAATTTAGAATTTTAACGGTTTGTGTCCTCCATACCAAATGAACCAATTTACATGTCGCTTACCTAAGGACGATCTCATTTTCCAATCCCATCATTTTAATGTCAATCCATAAAAGTAACTCATATTCGCGTTTGTTAATACATGTTTCACATTGTCATTACTATGACCGGTAACTTCGCTGCAACTGATTCGGTATTGCTAATCATATGGCCTCCAAACTAATAAACATATCGGGCCAGCAGTTTTATGACAAAACTCAAAGTGAAGACAACTCATCGTCTGGTGGAATTTTGGCACTTGGTGGTGTCCAATAATCTAATTGCAAGCATAATGATTGCTAAAATTAAGCTTTCACGCAACACACTTGGAGTAAAAGTTGATAATGGGTTTGGGAAGGGAAGTGGTGAGAGGAAGAAATTGTGTTTGGATTTGGTAGCAGGTAAAGTTCATGGTTCGGTTTCTTTTCGTAAAGTGCTTTGATTTATTTTAGTTAGAGGTATAATATCATGGTTATGTGGGGATCTAATGAACCAAAAATGAGCTTGGGGATGAGAATTCCAACTTAGAAGGAGTGGATTAAATTTTGATAAACTCAAGTTCATGATTAACTGAAAGAATATTTAGATTTAGACTTTGTGGTATTGAGATGTTCATAGAGGGTTTAAAAGTGATCCAAGGCCATAGATTGATATTGGTTAGTTGATTGTGATTTTGAGGAAGGTGTATAAAAAGTCATGGAATTAGTTTGCAGCAAGTGAAAGCAGTGAAGAGGCAGTTGGTCAGGGTAGTGATTGAAACAAGGAGGATATTGAAAGACATAGAAGCAAAATCGAAGCAGTTGAAGAGAGAGAAGTGGTAGATGATCAGGATATTAATGAAAATGGAGAGGGTATTGAAGGACATGGAAGTGAACTGGATCAGGTGAAGGCAGAGAAGGAGAAGAAGAGCATATTGATGGAATTGAAGATGAGTGTTGGTTTTACGAGCTTATTAAAACTGCCTCAAGGAAGATGAGTTCGCCAAATACAAGAAAGAGGATTGAGGAGTTGGAGATCAAGCTGACAAGAAACTCAATTGATAGAGAAATTCAGGTTCATGGAGAGAAGGTCCATCAAAGTAGCATAAACGGAGTTGCAGAAGGAGGATTAGAAATTGAATTTTGGTTTAAAACATATACGTCGAGAGATTGAAGATGGAGGGATAAAAAGTTGGTTGTACAACGGAGAGTGGAAACTATTGGATCTTTAGGTGTTATGGTTGTTGCAACTAGGGCTGGCGGACGGTTTTCCGGTTAGCGGCTAACCGGTCGGTTTCAACCGAACCGACCGGTTTTCGGCTAACCGAAAAACCGACTCCAATGACATCGGTCGGTTGGCGGTGGGGAAGGGTAGGGGTTCGGCTAGCCGACTAACCGGGGTCGAAAACCGACGGTTAACCGGCTAACCGACCCCCCCTCCCCTCCCCCAAAACGAGGCCGCCCCCAGTCCTAATTCCCACTAACCCTAGCTCCCCAACCCCTTCCCCTTCCTCCCTCGCAGTCAACCTTCACCTCCCCATATCTCTCTCTCTCTCACACAGCTCGTCTGGTCTCTTCATCACTGATCCCATCATCCATCTTCCCAGTACACCCACTTCCCAGTACACCCATCATCCATCATTCATCACTCGTCTGGTCTCTTCCCTCACAAATCCCATCATCCATCTTTAATTTTTTTTTCTCTTTACCCCATTTTACCATGCAAGAAATTCCCACTTTTGCTTCTCCCTGCAGCTTCCATCTTTAAATCAAAAGGCCTCTCTTTGCTATCCAGCCTTATTAATCAATCCCTCCCTGCTGCTGCTGTCCTTCTTCCCCACCACAAAAAAGAAACCAAGCAGTCACCAGAAGAAGCAACAAAAATAGCACTGTCCCTCTTCCCCACCACAAAAAAAAAAGCCTAACCAATTCAATTTTTAGCCATGGATATGCACGCCGGCAGCCAGCTTGTGATGATGACCACACCGCCTCCTTCCAGCAGCGGCACAGGCACCGCGGCGGCGGCGACGAGCAGCCGGTACGAGAACCAGAAGAGGAGGGACTGTTCCAGCAGCCGGCACAGGCACCGCACCCTCTGATTCGCCTCCTTCCCGGCGCCGCGCCTCGCCGCCGCCCGTCGCCGTGCCTCGCCGCCCGTCGCCGCCCCTGCAGATCTCTTTCCATGGAGAAAGAAGGTGAGAGAAGAAGGAAGGAAGGAGAGAGAAGAGGTCTGATGTGGAGGAAGGAAAGAGAGAGGAGGAGGAGATAAGGAAGGAGTGGTGGGGAAATTTTCTGTTTTATCTAATTTTTTTTTTTTTTTTTGGAAATTGTATTTTTTTCGGTTGGCCGGCTAACCGAGCCTAAAACCGGAACTGACCGGTCGGTTGGCCGGCTAACCGTGACCTCTCTTCGGTCGGTGGTCGGCAGCTATAGGTGGTGGCTCGGTTTAACCGATAACCGGGTTTTCGGTTTTCGGTTAAACCGAAACCGACCGACTGCCACCCCTAGTTGCAACTACCACAACCTATGTTTGTGTTAAAATAAGGAATCATTGATTGATTTACTAAAGTTAAGGTCGATTCACTATTCAAACTACTGGAACCTGTAGATAAGGAGTGTCTAATTTTGTGCCTCATTACTTTGATGGAGTCTATTAGTATATTGGATGTAACTCTAATTTTGTCATTTGCTCTCAAGTTTTGATGGTCAATCCCAAACCACACAGGACGCAACACAGCTTTGACCAAGACCATATCGAATTGAATCTAATATGTCTTGGACCTTCATCCTACCAATCATACTAGTTCAAAAGAAAAATGTTCTGATGGGACATTTCAATCGAACTTCATCGGATCCCACCAGATCGAATGCACTTATGGTCCAGTGTTGGATTCTATGATTTGTTTTATTAATGGACCGTGTTTCTAATGAATATAAACAATCAAATATGAACACGCATAATGTTAATCAGCCAACGGGCCGAGTTATAAGCTAGTGATAAAAAGAAATCAATACTTTGACACTAGAACAAACAAGGGACAACCCAGATGAAACAAAGCACCAGACCTCGTCCTGGTCCAAAACAACTACCACGAAACAGAGGAGGAGTACAAAAGGCAACAACAAAGCTAAATAGAAAAGTGCAATCCAGCCTGAATCTAGACCGAAAGGCTCTTTCTTCAGGAGGACGGCACAGTAGGATTGGAAGCTTTGAGAGCACTCTGTCGAATGAACCGCAACGTCGCCACCATCTTCTCCTTAGGAGGCGCAATCTCCTGCACCACAGGAATCTCTCTGATCCCCTGCAACCACGAATACACCAACGGAGCCTTCTTCTCCCAATCCACGATCTTCACCCCCAGCACCTCCTCTCCCAAATCGTACGCCCCGAAACACCAACACATCACAATCTCCAGCATCCCCGCGCTAATCCCTCCATTATCCCCAAACACACCTTCTTCCTTCAGCCCGCCTTCCAAAACCACCAGCTTCTCCTCCAACTCCTTCACCGCCTTCTCCTGCGCCTCCCCATCAGTTTTCAAGATCACCAGCATCGCCTCCATCACCTGGCGGTGGAGGAAGTCGGCCCAGAATCGGACTCGGGCCCGTTTGTATGGATCGTCGGGGAGCAATCTGGGCCCGGTGGTTTTCCAGGCCTCGTCGATGTACTCGATGATGACGAGCGACTCTGATACTGGTTTCCCGTTGTGGATGAGGACGGGGACCTTTTTGGTGACGGGGTTGTGGGTAAGTAAGGCGGGGCTTTTGTTGCGGAGATCCTCTTCAACGTACTCGTAGGGTATGCCCTTGAGTTTAAGGGCCATTTCTACCCTCTTCACGAATGGGCTACCCCAGAACCCGTGCAGAATCACTCTGTTTTCTTCCTCTGCCATTTTTTTTCTCTCTTCTTTCTGGTTCACTCAATTCTCAACTGTGGGATAAACAGGATGGTTGGAGATGTGTAGTTGTTCACTTGTTCTCAAGTTAGGCGGCGGCTAGATATATAGACCTGGTAAGCCAATGGAGACTTTTCTTCTGTGCATTTAAGGGACTAACTAAATTGTTATTGACCAATCCTAGTCCGACAGCTGTGTCTTGCAGAGGACGCTACAATTGGTCAAGGTCAACTTATGGGAAATGGGGAGGAGGTTTCTTCCTTGATATGTTCCAATAAGCAGTCCAGTTGAAGATGATAGTGAGGGATTTGGAACAGAATATTCCATATGTGGTTGCTAGAAATTTGACGAAGGGAGCATGAAATGTTCTTGGACAAATTTGGTGTATGAATTTTGAATTGGATGTCGGGTGATTACGAGTATGACCATAATGTAGGGCCACCTATATGCATCACTCACTAGTTCTTGTCATGAGAATTTATTTGTCACATTATTTAATCGATACATGAATTTTTCTCGTTAATTTTATCAAGTAGAATTGCAAATAAAATTACTAACCTTAAATTCAATGAGAACTTGGAGTGAATATGGCAACCGCCAACCAGTCCAAACTCAAAAGAATTCTTGTGTGAGAATGAGAATGACGCAAAAGCGCCAAGAGGTTAAACAAGCTTAGGAGATAAGAAAGTTGTAGTTAGGAGTGTACAATGGTCCGGTCCGGGACCGGATCGCACCGGACCAACTCGAAGTTTGGATTGGACCGCACCGGATCGAGTATAATGCCGTCTGGTTCTTGGTCCATATGAATTTTACAATTACTGAAGAAATGATGGATCGAACTGATATTTGAACCGATCTTTGGTCCTAAGATGTCTTTTACTAATGGACAAAGGCTCTCATAAGTTCGGTCTGCTTCGTTGCACACCTAGTTGTAGTTAGGGGTGTACATGAGTCGGGTGGTCCGGGTTTAGGCATTTTAATCACCCGACCCATGCACTACGATTTGAGAAATATTAAACCCAAACCCACCCAAAAAAATCAAAACCCTACGGTTTGTTTCTAATTGGGTTGGGTCGGGTTGGCGATATTTTTAAGTAAAAACCCAACCCAACACAAAATATGTAATTATTCTACATCATAAAAATATTTTATAACAAATTAAAAATTCAAACGAATAAACCGAGGAGAAAGGTATCAAAATTCACAAATATTATTTGAATTTTAATAAAACTTGATTTACTTCAACTTATGTCTAGTTTTTTTCACGACATTTGTTGAAATAGGCTAAAAAGGTTACAAATGAACGCATCCATAATATGATATTCTTTTAAAATTGTACACAAGAAAAAAAAAATACGTGAATCATAGCGATATTAAATATATGTCTAAACTTTAAGTCGAAGAATGCATTAGATTAGTGAGACTTTAAGAGAAAACATGGCGAAATATCTTAATTTTCTCATAAGTATGACTATATACAACATAAATATTTTTTTGGATACGAACTCATACTAATAATTGGAACACGGGTTGGGTCGGGTTCTACGGTTTGTGTAATCCAAAATCCAAAACCAACCCAAAAGAGGCGGGTTGTACAAAAGAAAACCCTCACCCAACCCAAAACCTTCGATCTAGCGATAAATACGGGTGGGTTGGGTCGGGTTGGACGGGTGGGTCGGTTTGCGGGTGTGTTTGTTCACCCCTAGTTGTAGTGGACTTTAATGGTGGGACCAACTAGTAAATCCTGACATAATATAGGTATGTTTTTGTAAAACCATAATATATATGGGCTTGTTTATTAAAATAGTACAAGGATGAAACTTGCAATTGACCCAAGGGGATTAGTAATAGTATTTAGTAGAACGTTCAGTTTGGAACTTTCCGGCCCGCGTCTTTTTGTCCAGTCGAGAAAAGGGAAGGGTGTTTTGCACGTCGCCGTCGGCGAAGATGGAATCCGCGGGACAATGGCTGGAGAAAGCGCTGATCGATTTGTGCCAGAGAGTGGAGACCGGTTTGGAGTTGGACAGAGATATCATCTCCGGCTTGGTCTCCTATTGTGAACTAGCCCAGCCTCTCGACGCCAAAGAATATCTCGATGTAATCCCTTCCCCTTCCCCTTCCTCTCCCTCTCCCCTACTCGCTTCATATCGCTGCAATTGATTCGAATTCCCAACAGTCTCCTTTCGTTTCTTTTGCTGATGGCTGAGTCCTTCTTCTCGCGCCAATTTGATAAATTCCAGTACGAGTTTTGTGGGTGTCAGTGATAGAAATCAGGATTCTATACCTATCTGAATTAGGGATTTTATTTTATACCCTGTTGATGTTTGGAGGAGGATCGGTTTTGTTCCATTCCCCGTTGGTAGTTTTAGTCTTATGATCTGGTATCCTTGTTGCAGAATATAGTCGGGCAGGAAGCTGGCAAGAATGTGATCGATGAGTATTTGCGGCTTAGAGGGTACGTGGACTCTACTGCCACCACCAGTTCAGTTTCTCAAGCTTCAAAGTTTCATACCTATGTGAAGCCAGCAAACGAGAAAAGTGTCCCTGCAATTGCAGCCAAGAAGCCCTCAACTGTATCTAACAATGGTGCTGGATCTAGTAGCAGTCACCAGGCTGAGCCAAAGAAGGCCGAGCTGAAAAAGAACGCTACTTCTAACAATAGTCAAGCAAACAGCAACCAACAGAGTAATTCCAGGAAGAAGAAATCGGGGAAGGTGGTATCACTCGCAGAGGCTGCGAAAGGGTCGATCGTGTTCCAACAGGGCAAGCCGTGTGCTTGTCAAGCCCGCCAGCATAAACTGGTGAGCAATTGTCTGTCTTGTGGCAAGATTGTCTGTGAGCAAGAAGGAGAAGGACCTTGTAGCTTTTGTGGTGCCCTTGTGCTTATGGAGGGGAGTTCATATGCTGGTCTAGAGGGAATTTCTGCTCCAGTGAACAATGCTGAAGCATCGGCTGAAGCATATGCGAAGAGGCTTGTTGACTATGATCGGAATGCTGCTGCACGTACCACTGTCATTGATGATCAAAGTGATTACTATGAGATTGAAGGCAATAACTGGCTATCAAAGGAGGTAATTTTGAAGATCCTGAACCATGTTTCTGTAATGCTTGAAAGATTCAATCTTTGATTGATCTTGGTTTCTTTATGCAACCAGGAAAAGGAGCTTTTGATGAAGAGACAAGAGGAGGTAGAAGCTGCAGAGCGTGCCAAGCGAAATAAAGTGGTTGTGACATTTGATTTGGTTGGTCGCAAGGTATCTCAATTATTCTTGAACATGTCATCTGTTCATATTGTGTTACAAGTCATAATCTCATTGCTTGACACCATGGAGTTTGCATTCTCTAGGTCATGGTGAACGAGGATGAAGTTCCGGAGATGGAATCAGGTAGCAGCATACTAAGACCACCAGATGGAAAAGAAAGAGAATTGAACCGGATTAAACCGAACCCAAACCTTAAAATACAGCCAATCTTCTTGGATCCAGGCCCTAGCAGCAGTAAAAAGCCTACCAAGAAGAACAAGAAACAAATTAAAGGTGCTGGTCCCGCTGGCATTTGCTTAGAGATCACCGGCAGAGTGCAGCACGAAAGCAAAGACGTGAAGCACTTGATGATGGACAACCAGATGATGGAACCCACTCCTCATGGGAAACAATGGCATGCTCCGGCAGTGGGATCAAGTGCGCCTGTCGAAGATGATGGTGCATGTTCTGTTGGCTATTACTAGACATTTGTCGTGTCGCCGTATTTCAACTACTTTTTTTGTGTTAAGCTATTTAGCCAGAAGAAAGTATCAGTGAACAGATATAATTTACAAGTGACCAGTTTTCCATACACCGTCGTTTGTTTCGACATGTTTCATCCAGGGCTATTATTTGCTGTGAAAAGAATGTTGTGTTGAAGAATCTATTGAGTCAAAATGGAGCTTATGCCTGCTTCTTTGGGATCTTTCTGGCTCACAATTATGGTCCTTTCATGCAGAACCTCATTCCATCTTTCTGTCTCAGCAAATACATTAGCACAAAGAACACGATCCTCAGTGGCCATGACGCTCGACTTATTTGCTTCCATGAGCTTATCCACTGAACTCAAACCGAGTCTACTATCACCATGAACCCTGCAGGCATTTACAAGCATCCTCCAAACAACTCCATTCGGCTCCATGGACATCTTCTCCATGAACCTCTTGGCTTCTTCCAGCATTCCTGCTCGAGCAAGCATATCAACGATGCAGCCGTAGTGCTCAATTTTTGGTTCAATATCATAACACTCAATCATCATCGTATACATCTTCTTGCCCACATCTACCAGGCCAGAATGGTCACACGCTGATAGAACCCCAATGAACGTCACACAATTTGGGTTGATTCCTTCAGCACGCATATGGCTGAAAGCAAGGAGTGCTTCTTCACCTTCGCCATTAATGGCATGACCTACAATGAGCGTCGTCCAAGATATCACGTCCTTTTGGGGCATTTTGTCAAACACTAATCGAGCTCGATCCATGATCCCGCATTTTGCATACATGTCAATCAGAGCATTTTGCAAGACAAGGCTTTTACCGAGATGATCAATGGCGTCAATATACAAGTGAATCTCAATGCCACGACTCAGTTGTCCAGAATTACGACATGCAGAGATTAGTCCCAGCATTGTTACCTCATCCGCCCTGACCATCCTTCTGGATTTCATAGAATCAAATAGGGCCAAAGCTTCACTGTTTTGCCCCCTTTCGACACACCCGTGAATCATCGAGTTCCAGGAGGCGACATTTTCGTCTGGCAGCTTGCGAAAGATTCTCCTAGCGTATTCCATGAAACCACATTTTGAGTACATGTTAATGAACACAGTACCTACAGAGAGACTGAGACTGGTATCTGCTCCAGTTGCTACTACCACATGCCCATGAACCATCTTCCCCCTCACAAGATCTCTACCATTAGCACAGGCCAATGCTAAGTTAACCAATGAAACCCTGTCGTAACCTGCATATCCATTTCTCATTTCTCTAAACAAAGCGAAAGCCTGTCCCAAATTACCACCGTTCTTTGCATACCCTGCAATCATGGTGTTCCACGAAACCAAATCCTTGTTCAACATATTGCTAAACAACCTCACTGCATCATTCATGAATCCGAATTTTGCATAGAAATCAAGCAGAGCATTGCCAACTTCAACTGCCGAATCGAGACAGCTCTTGCAGCAGAAAGAATGAAGCAGCATCCCTAGTCTGTATCTCCCAGCTTCTACGCATCCAGAGATCAGAACTACCAAAGTCACATGATTTGGCTTCAACCCCTCACCAAAAGCTTCATGAAACAAACGCAAACCTTCAAAGAATCTATTGTTCTTCAATAACCCAGAAAGCATACCATTAACCGTAACAACATTTCTCTCGGGCATTCCATCGAACAGTACGCGTGCATAGTTCAGAATCTCGGAACCCGCATAGAGATGAATCAAGCTATTCCGAACGCTCAAACTGCCATCGTATCCAAGCTTCACAGCACGACCATGCACCGATTTCCCTCCGTTGACATACTTTAGCTTGTTGCAAGCCTTGATCAAAGATGCATAAGCGTAAGGATCCAAAACTGGGCTGTCGTATGCCACCTTCTGGATGGCCCGGAACATAGAAATTACCCGGTTCGGGTCGCTTTGTAAGTCTACCTGGCGGAGCACATTACTCCACGCCGTCATTTCTACCACCAAGAGCCTCCGCGCACCTCAAGCTTTAGCCTAAAGTTTCAGTTTTCCGTCTAGAATTTGTTGACGACGGTTCTGTGTGATGTTGAGCCGAAATAGTTTCAGTCTGAACGGAGTGATGTTCTTCCTCTACATCCTACACATACGCGCGGCGTCATTTGAACAAAAAAGGGTATTGAGAAATCGAGATATTTCCATTTGAGACTGCGAGGAGGAGAATCTAAGTCGTAAAGTTTGAATCTTTTTCTTTTCTTTTCAATTCAAAAGTCTGTCAGTTAGGAACAAATGCGACGAACTGTGAGCATACATAACAACTTTAAGGCAACCCAAGTGGGTCAAACAGAATGTGCTGCCTAATAGCACTGCGAATCTGCGATTCATTTTCTGCTGATTCAAGAGAATGTGTGGAATCAAACGGAGCTGCTGCTTCGGGATCCCAGGAATTGGTCAGCAATCTTGGCCACAGAGTTGGCAAGACTATCTGCTGCTTCTTGTGTCGAAGCCTCTGCATATACCCGGACCACATCCTCCGTACCAGAAGGTCGTATGAAACATCGTCCGCATGGATATTTTGCTGCATGAGAGATGGACTTCGGTCAAGTTACATGCTTATTAACATCAAGACAAGAGGTAAGAATCGGTCAAAGTTTAAAAGTTTCGGAAGTAATCCAAGCAAGCGATCATTTTATATTTCAAGAGCTACTGGTAATGTGTCATCACCTATTTCAGCATTGATTGCTTCTTGAATCCCAGGTGGCTTGACAGCAATAGTCTCTGCATTTTCTGTTACAACAGCAGTCCTATCGATAACTTTAACCTGTTAAAGGACGGAAGAAGTGCCGATGATCAGTTTCTGAACTGTTTCAGAGGCAAATGAAACAACTCGATACAAGAAACAAAGTGAAGATCAGACTTGGCATTCCCGCATAGAAATAGTACATAACCTTAAGCTGCCTGCTTGGTAGATCTTGGTAAAGCCCATTCCACTTGCAGATTGACCATCCCTTGTGTATTAAGATAGCCTCCACCAAGAGCAAGCCACTTAAAGCATCCCCAACAGCTTGGTTGATCAACTTGCTAACTGCCAACAGTCTTAATGCGGCTTTCTTCTGTTCAGAACCTGATTCAATCAAACAAATTCAGCAATTTTCCACTCTCAATCTACAACTCGTCACTGCCCGTGCTACAATACTACAACAGGAAATCACCTTTAGATCTGGAAGCAAGCTCGTTATTCTTAGCTTCTAGCCACGACAAGAAGTGGTCCGAGAACAGGATGGTACCATGTCCATTGGCCTCAAAATATATTCCAACATCATATTCAGCCGCTTTCTCGTGCAAGTATTTCACTCCAGTTGGAGTAAGGGCGATTTCCAGACCTAGTTGTCTTAGGTAATTTGTGGATGCTCCGTTTGCATAAGCTGTTTGTATCACACCAAGGCGAGCATGGTAACCATCTTCAACCATTTGACCTCCCTCTGTCAAAATACTTAATTGCTCCTTGATGAATACAGCAAAAAGTGTCAGAATCTTGTCTCCATCGACAAGATCAATTTTGCTGCTACTTTCCGATGGCAAAGTGAAATACACAAGCCGGTCAGCATCACCATCCAAACTCGCACATCTGCAACACTAGAATGTAGTCCTGCCATCAGCTTCTCCACCAAAATTGAGCTGCATAATTCAAACTAATGTAATGACATGAAATATTCAAACCTTATCCCAACATCTTTAGGACCAAATTCTTGTGGAAGAATCTTCTCCTTCTGCACAAAATCAGCACCAACCCCTTCATTCAGCACGCCTTCTTTCCCAGTATTACGAATTTCAATATCCAAACCATCCAACGATTTCTTCAAACCCTCAAGTTTTTCACTTCCAACCCCATTAGCTCCATCCACCACCAACTTATTCTCAGCCTTCTCCACCTTGCTTCCATTTGGAATCAAATCAAGCAGGCACCTGGCAAATGCCATAGGCTCCATAAGGAAAATTGACAGCAACGAATCAAGAAATATGAAATAAACATATCTACCGCTTCCTCATTCAAACCTGTAAGAGCTCGAAAGCTGCTCAAAGTAATCAAGCTCAGCAGCTTTCAAACCCTTATTCTTAGCACGGACCATCCAATGAAGCTGTGGAGTAGTTACAATTCCCATGTCAACAGCACTTGCTCCAACGATTGAACTGATTCCCTTCAGTCAGAAAACTACATAAGACATCACAGTCAATAATCTCAGGGATCGTTCAAGAAAGGGGAGTTTGCATACTTGTTTTGCAGCTTCAAGAAGAGAATCGCCGCTTGGCCTGGTGTCTCTTCCCAACAGTACCTTCGCCGGCCGCGATCCATCGAATCGAATGCCTTCTTTCGCCACGAATTCCTCAACCAATTGCAGAAGCTCCTGGGGAGTCGGAGCATTGGCAATGGAGTCAGCGAAGGGCTCCCAGTCCTGAGTGAGCATCCCGCCGCTGGGATCACCGACTTTGATCCCATTGTCGCTGACTTGATTGTGGGAAGCGGTGATCATCAATCCGATCACCGACTGCGTCCTCAGGGACCGAAGCGCCGCTAGGATCCCAACCCTAAACACCGTCGATTGGAGAATGGAAGCGTCTGCTCTGAATCCGGACGTGCCATAAGAGAGCTTCACTCCTGAGAAACGTAGCAAAGGGAAAGAAGAAGAAGCCAGCGAATCAGATGAAGACTGCGGGCGGGTAACAACAGAAGCGAGAAAGGAAATGAGCGGAGATCACGAAGGTAATACCTTGAGGAGGCGGGAATTGAGAGGAAGAAGACAGAATGAGAGACTTCTGATGGTCGTTCATGGCGAAATTACTGCTCCGGCGTAATCACTGTGCTGGGAGAAACAGAGTACTGTGACTGATTTTAATTTGTTGATCGGAGGGAGGAAGCGGCGGACAACTACCGTCAACTGCTCAAAGAGAGACGAAAGGTCAAGCGGGTCGAGCCAACCCAACCCAATCCGTCCGACCGGTATTTTCATGGGTCACTCTGGGTTTGGGTCAAGTGCCAGGTTCAGACAGGTTGGTTCTCATTGGAGCGGAAGCGAGCACAATCAAACCAACAAGCCATGCTGCATTGCTGCCGCCATTGCCACGTCCCTTTCACCTTCGTTCTCTTCTCCCTCTTGTTTTCTCAACCTTCGAACAAATCGAAACAATTTTTCAGCAGAGACTTTCGCGGGGTCTCATTTTTGTCTCGTTTCCGTTCCAAAGTATCCTGAAATCCGAATCACATGGTGGTAATTAACGACGAAAGAACAACAAAAAGATTGAAACTTTTTTCCCTTTTGGGTAGGCTAAATTTCAAACCTTCCATACCCACTCCCCCTCCTTCCCCGCGTCCTCCTCTTTTTCTCTCCTTCTCTGCTTTCTCTCTGCCATTCTCTCTCGCTCTCTCTCAATTGAAGCATGGTCTGGATCTGACACTCCCTACGCCCAGCACCGCCTTCTACAGTTGTAAGAATGCCTTCTCCCTGCTCAGTGATTCGTTCAATTTCTCTAACTAGTACAGGCATTGTTGATTGTTTGCGTTTCTGGAACCCAGCGATTGTAATTCCCGTCCTCGAATGTTGTCTGATGCGTATGATGTCAAAGTTGTATTCTTTTTTCCACAATTGGAACATTATCATCGAAAAGTTTTGGTGGTCTCATCCACTGATGGTGACCATTTCTGTTTCTGTAATTGATTTCAGGAGCGCTATCATGGCGACAAAAGGGAACACAGGGGACCCGAGAACAAGGAGCTCCATCTCAATCTTCATCGTGGTCGGTTTATGTTTCTTCTTCTACATCTTGGGCGCATGGCAACGAAGCGGGTTCGGTAAAGGCGACACCATTGCTCAAGTGGTCACCAAACAAATGGACTGCAGCATCCTCCCCGATCTCAATTATGAGACCAGCGGCGATGCAGGCACCAACGATGTGTCTCCACTCGATGTCAAGGAGATTCCATCCTGTGACGACGCGTACATTGATTACACACCGTGTCAGGATCAAATGAGGGCCATGACATTCCCACGGGAGAACATGAACTACAGGGAACGACATTGCCCGCCTGAATCCGAGAAGCTTCACTGCCTCATCCCTGCGCCAAAGGGTTACGCCACCCCTTTCCCATGGCCCAAGAGTCGTGACTATGTGCCCTATGCTAATGCACCTTATAAGAGCCTGACAGTTGAGAAAGCTGTCCAGAACTGGATTATATATGAGGGGAATGTGTTTAGATTTCCAGGTGGTGGAACACAGTTCCCTCACGGAGCGGATACTTATATCGATCAGCTTGCTGCGGCCATCCCCATTGATAATGGGATGGTTAGAACTGCCTTGGATACTGGTTGTGGGGTAATGGATATAAGCTATCTTTTTTTATTGAACAAAATGCTTTTTCCCTTTCAGTTTCGTAGCCTCGGGCTAATTGATGCTGCATTTTGGTGATTTAGGTTGCTAGTTTGGGTGCATACCTTTTCAAAAAGAATGTTCTCACCATGTCATTTGCACCGAGGGACTCGCATGAAGCGCAAGTTCAGTTTGCACTGGAAAGAGGTGTTCCGGCTGTCATTGGTGTTCTTGGAACCATCAAGCTGCCATATCCTTCTGGAGCATTTGATATGGCCCACTGTTCTCGTTGCTTGATTCCATGGGGTGCTAATGGTGAGATTTTGATTATTGGTCTGGTTTGACAAAATAATTCAAGTATTTTTGGACGTAGAAATTGAAGTTTGATCACAGAGGCAGCAGTTGACAGCAAGACGTGCTCTTTTTTTTTTTTTTTTCTGGTTCAGATGGAATGTACATGATGGAAGTCGATCGTGTTCTAAGACCAGGTGGTTACTGGCTGCTTTCGGGTCCTCCCATCAACTGGAGGACGCATTATCAAGCATGGAATAGAACCAAAGAGGATCTTGAAGCAGAACAAAACAAGATTGAAGAAATTGCCCGACTTCTTTGCTGGGAAAAGAAAGATGAGTTGGGTGATATTGGTATCTGGCAGAAAAGACTAGACCCTAGTTCTTGCACTGAACAGCGCACCATGTGTGAATCGTCAGATCCTGATGATGTCTGGTGAGTGCTCTTGTCAGTTCTTCCCTGTTCCAGAGTTCTACATGATTAACAGATTAAGTGTTCCTTATGGGCTTCCTTTGCTTTCTGACTTAGGTACCAGAAAATGGAGCCATGTGTAACGGGGTCTCCAAAGATTGATGGCTCCGAGTGGAAGCCATTTCCTGAGAGACTTAAAGCTGTACCTTTCAGAGTGTCTAGTGGGGCTATTCCTGGAGTCTCTCCAAAGGAATACCTGGAAGACAGTCGAACATGGAAGAAGCATGTAAATGCGTATAGGAGGATAAATAAGATCCTAGACTCGGGGAGATATCGCAACATTATGGACATGAATGCTGGCATGGGAGGTTTTGCTGCAGCCCTTGAATCTTCTAAACTGTGGGTTATGAATGTTGTGCCTACCATTGCAGAGAAGAACACCTTGGGTGTTGTGTTCGAGCGTGGTTTGATCGGTATTTATCATGATTGGTAAGTACTGCTGCAAACACCTTCCCCTGCTGTGACTAATTGGTACTACTATTTTATGCTGTTTGATAAAAAGAATTTTCTTCTGCCGAGCAAATCGCAGTGAAGGAACACAATCACTTCTATAAGTTGGATTCGTTGCTAGAATGCTATCAGATGCATGAGCTTTTAATTGAAATCACTTCTTAAACTTAAATTTTGTGGATCTCATATTACTTTATTCTTTTGGATGCTTTAACTTATCATCATCTTATTCTGCTCTTTGTTATTAGGTGTGAAGCTTTCTCTACATATCCAAGGACGTATGACCTCATTCATGCAAATGGCCTCTTCAGCTTGTACAAGGACAAGTGAGTCTTCACCCTAGTCTTTGTTAAGCAAGCAAACCTTGATTCGTGATTCTTTACATTCATAAAAGATGGGCAAAAAAACGAGATACTCCGTTTCAAATTCCAAAGCGAATAATGATAATAATTTGCAGACTAACTTGTTTTCCTTTGCAGGTGCAGCATGGAAGACATTCTACTCGAGATGGATAGGATATTAAGGCCAGAAGGAACAGTGATATTCCGCGATCATGTGGATGTTCTTGTCAAAGTGAAGAAAACTGTGTCAGGTATGAGATGGAATACGAAAATGGTGGACCATGAAGATGGCCCACTTGTTCCAGAGAAGGTGATGTTTGCCGTCAAACAATACTGGGTTGCTGGACAACAGAATGTCACTAAAACTAATTAGAAGTGACAGAGGCAGCATTTAATCCCTTCCTTTTTTCCATCTCATAATAAAATGCTACTCTCTTGGGTTCAAGGCAATCAGACACATTCATCTTATCAACCATGCCTGCCTGTTTAAGAACAAGCCAAGATTTCACAACACAGTGCCATTTCATTGCATTTTGCAGTAGATAGAAAGAATATAGGTAAATTGGTCTTTATCTTTTCCCCAAGTTTGCTCTTTCATTTGGTACCCATTTTGCCAGCATTCTATTAGAAGCACCTCAGATGTAGTTGGATATTGGTGATATTGCCTTCTGTATGTCTTTGTTCTTTTAACTGTAGAAAAATCTTTCTTCTTGTTTATTACTACAAACAAACTCATTGCCTCAGTTTTGCATTCATGACGACCAGCAACTCTTCTTCTGCCTTGTCTGTATCTCTCTCTCTCTCTCTCTCTGAATTGGCTGTGTTGCTTACCAGTTAGTTACTAGAATGTTCCTTAGACTGTCAAGATGGGTTGTGAATTCCATTCCCCTGCTTCTCGTGACTCAGACAGCCAACCCCACCATGTGAGAGGCCAGCTGAAAAGTGGGTTTCCCTTCCTTTTTCAAGCTGCGCAGCCTGTTTTTGAACCTTTTGGTTTGTTTGGAGATTGGTGGATACCTTATCCGTTTTCCTTCTCCATGCATTTTGTAGATATTTTCCCAACACAGCTGCCTCCTGTTTGACTTGAATCTCTGGTTGCTGTGTCTTGTATGGCAGCCTACTAGGGCTAGGGGATGTCTCATTGGTTTGGACTTTGGAGGCAAAGGGGTCAATGAAATTTGGCCATACTAACATACTTTCTGTGGCATCTCCACAACCAATTGGTATCCCAGCAGCAAACTAAGGCCACTAACCCTTTTATGTTGTCTTCACTTCTGGTGTCCTACCCTACATCTTATCCCAAAAGAGCCTCATGTTCCACAAAGGCTGCACATTCCTCTGCCTCTTAGGGAAGAGTTGTTTGTTCATGTCCATGACTTTGAACATCAACTCGATGCTTTTTGGCGCGACCAAATCCGAAAGAGATTCTTTTGCAGGCATGTATTGTAGAATACAGAGATTTCACTTTGCAGGAGAGATGTAAGAATTCATATTATGGTAGAATGGGAAGTAAGTTGACAGTTCAACTTCTGTGATCCATTACCGAAGAAAAAAACTGTTAGGAGGGAAGTTTAAGTCGTGTCAGCATCGGATACTGCCCCACCAGCCTCTTTAAATACAGTTTGGTGCCACACAGGAATATAAGCAAACCCCAATGATCTCTGTATTGTCCAAAATCAAACACCAGAAAACAAACCATTCTCTCTTCCTCTGCAAAAACATGTTGTATAGGAAATCTTGAGTTGTCCTTCCTTTGATCCCAAAGTCTCTCCCTGTGTAGTCCCTATCTTTCTACTTTTCTCGTGTTCCCTCACATTCACATTTCTCTCCACAAAAATTATTGCCTTTCTTCTTCTTAGCATTATAACTCCACCACCTCCCACATCAAACACTTCCACTCCATGGAGAGCGAGAGAAAGATCACGGGGCTTCGCGACGCGTCCTTCTCTTGCTACCTCACCACACCAGCAGAGATCAGCAGCTTTGCTGCTAAGCTCACTGAACCAGCTGTTGCTGCTGCTGCTGCTTTTCCTCTTGATGACCATGACATAGCCAAACCTGAAGAGAACGGCATTGGCGTGTTCAGAGCTGAGAAGTACTTCAACTCGAGACACGAGGACGCCAGAAGTCCTCGTATCATCGACACCCTCACCGGGAAGTATGTCCATGAAAGCGACACCATTGATCCCCGCAGGACGATGACGACGACGACGAGGAAGCATAAGATCAAGCAAGTTGTGGTGGGAACTCCCAGTGTGAGCTCTGAAGCCAGCAGCTGGAGCAGTAGCACCACCACCCAATCCACATTCCTCAACAGCTCACTTGGAAACTCGACGTCGTCTCGTCGTGCGAGCAGAGAGAAGCGGCCGTTCTTCCCTGCCTTCCCCTGCAGAGGCTCTTGCTCGGACAAGAAATCCCTCCACGTCAGCAACAACCAGAGTGCCGGAGTCGAAATTGCACACAGCAAACCCTTGATTTGGGAAGCAAGAAAAGTACAGAGCAAGTCGAGATTTCAGAATCCGGTCATTTCCCAGAGAGTTGCAGAAGATGAACAAGGAAGGAAATCTCTGGAAGTGTTTGGTTCTCGTTCAATGAAGAAAGAAGAGGAAGACATGATCGCTATGGATTTAGAAAGGAAGCTCTCTGTGCTGAGTTGGGATGCAATTCCTAACCCGCAACAACAACAACAACAACAAATAAAACAAACCCTGATCATGAAACCCAAACCCATGAAGAAGGAAATGGTATACGACGAAGAGAGCGATGGAAGTTCCGATCTTTTCGAAATCGAGACGGCTTCAGGGAGCACGCGGCCAATGTTCACGAAGCAGGATGACACGCCGACGAGTCGTTACGCGCCGAGCGAGGCGAGCGTGGAGTGGAGTGTGGTTACGGCTAGTGCTGCTGATTTCTCGTTTGCTGCTTCGGAGTATGGTGATGATTATAAGATGGCTGCTGCAGGTTCTGGAATGAGAGGCAACCCTGCAGCGAAGGGAAGAAGATCGTCGAATGCGAATGGCGGTGGTGGAATCTTGAGCTGCAAGAGTCTCAAGGCCGTGGAGGTTGCTGCTGGCCCTGTTGTTGTGCACAAGGAGAAACTGTACTCTGCCGCCCTGCCAGCAGCTTCCAAGCAAAAAGTTACAGGAAGGTGAAAACACTCAAAACAGGGGCGCCGCTTTTGCTTCTTTTATTCTGTAATAAATAAATAAAAATGAAAGATAGTCTTTTTTGTTGTTTTTCTTATCGGCTATCGCAATGGATGGAACATCGATCAGTGTAGTCGTCGGAGTTCAATCTTGATTCTCAGGTAAGAGCGATTTGCTTTTTTTAAGCTGTAGATGATGGAGAACTTGTGTTGAATGTTATCAGAGATTATGGGTGCTCTTGATTGTTTTTTTCTTCTTCTTAAGATCAACTCTCACTAATGTATTATTCGATCAAATTGAAACCGTACCATATCGACGGTATGATTGGAAAAACCTCTTATATGAGGCTAAATTGGTAGGCGATTTTTCATTGATATGAAACGGTTGAATTATGGTTTCAACGCAAAATACCCTATTGCTCACTTTCCGGTACGGACCTTCGTATGATTTTACAATCCTTGGTAATAACCAATAGAACACAAATTGCACTTGGTTATTTTGATTAAGGAACAAAGATGATATTTCTGCCCATTTTCTCTTGAGCGATCTTTGTAGTTTTGCTCCATAATTAAAGGTGGGTTTGAATATTTGTGTGTTCTAAATTGGAAACCTTGGAGCTTTACCATCCACAGCTTGCTTGATATGCAGTACAGGAAAAGACAGAACAGGCCCTGTAACATGTAAAGGAAAACATTTGACAAGTTGACGTGACTAAGAACACATTATTGAGAAACCGAAAACAGGATAAACCACATAAACAACAACTCACTGCCTAATCTTGTCTATGGGGATTGTCTCTGTTTTTGTGGTTGCTTGATATGAAACTGACTAACTAGGGTTGAAACTTGAAAGGATATGGGTCCACAGTTTCTTTGTGGATCCCTCCTCACAAAAATAACCATGGTGGGTTTGAATTTGTCAACTCTGTCTCACTTTTCATCCTACAAATCTAAGCAGTTCAGGTGGGTTTCTTTACTTTGTTGATAAAAAGGCAAACTTGGCAACTAAGTACGCAGCTTTAGCCTTTAAGCCCTCCTTGTCGACCAAATGGAACTGTTTTCCTGGCTACTCCAATATTTGCAGGAATGCTACAACTTTTCAGATAATTGGGGATACAATTAATCGAAAGAACACCATTTTTAACATTGTTCAGCCTCATCGAGGTAGTTACTAGGTTAGAATGCGAAGGAAACGTAAAACTGAGAAGATTACAACTCTGCCACGATCAACATCGTTAACTGTAAGTCGCGCCACAGTAGAGCGCGATACACCTCAGACGAGTAAGGCTGCCATGTGCATAGAGGAAGTAACAATGCAGATGAGAGGAGTGGAATTTAAAGAAGATGTGCCATGAATGCTGAAAGGAACAGTAGGAGGTTGTCCATCGCCTTCAGTTTCTTGAAGGAATATCGAGACCTTGGATGGATATTGTATACCTAGCACAAACTGCAGTAATGACTTATCCAAACTTTCTGCAGCTAGGTGAGGGGTTGATCTGTTTATAGATGTAGATGGGTTGCAATGGATGGAGATAGGGCATGGGAATGAAAGGAAGGAATGTCGTTGGAATGAAAGCAAACTGGAACTGTGCACATTCAATTACAAAAGAATTGTACTCAGATTGGACCACTTAGCTAGCTATGTTCTGATGATATTGATAATAATTAATGTTAGAGCTATATATGGGGCTTAGATTAGACACATCTCTGCAACAGTTGCAGCAGCAGCAGCAGCCACTTCTTATGGGACGATCGATTGAGCATCTAAAGCTAGAGCATGGTGGTTAATGAGAATCCAGGAAAGGATAGTAATTAATGATGATGTGAAGGTGGCAATTTGGTGATGGGTAGGGCTCTTTCATTTAATGGGTTGATTGTGCAGAAAGGGCAATTCGTGGTGTATCTTTCTGAAACCGTCGACCAACATTCTTGGGTAATCTCATTAATAGGATTAGAAGTAGTACTCATTCATTCAGGGGGGAAACAAACTTGTACTGCTCGCAAAAATCCACAAAATGTGTTTGTTAGTCCGAAGATTCCAACGGATTGTAGTGCGGTGTACATAGGTGTTCATCGTTATTTAACTTCTGTTGGGGAATTATAGGGCTAACAAACACTTTGTTATCAAGTTTCACAATAACGAATCGGTTTTGTTATATACCGTATTATCTTGATTCGAACGATCTATAGATAAGTGGTATAAGATTCAAATATGATGTACATGGGTGCTCATCGTTGTTTAGCCTTTTCTGAGAAATTTTAAAGCCAACAAACACGAACTTATCTACGAGAAAAATAAATAATAACTCGAGTTATTGAAAGAAACTCGTAAGGTTTACCGCGCCATACTTTCCCTTTGTTTCTTAAAAAAGTTATGGCCCTCATTCATCAGCCGGAGTTGTTGATGGCTGTGGTGGCGGTCCTTTGGCGAATCTGGCGGTCTCGAAACTGGGTAGTCTTTGAAGGCAAACAGTTTGGCCTCCCGGCTTTGACACGGCAGTTTCATCAGCAGTTTGAGGAGTGGGTGAACCTGCCAAGGGATCCAATCCTTCCTCGCCCTATTCCGGCTCCTCACCAAGTTGCCCCGCCTGGTGACTCTAGGATCGTTTGTCGATGGGATGGGGCGACCAGGCTGGGGGCTCCTTCGGCCGGGGGTATGGTGCTTATGACCCCGGGCCATGAGGTGCTACTGGCTAGGGGGGTTCAGTTCCCTGACCTGGTTGATCCTATGGTCATAGAGTTACTGACCCTTCGGGAGGCGATTGGCTGGTGTTTGGGTCTTGGATGTACGGAGGTAAGGGTTGAGGGAGATGCCAAGGTGATTATCGACAAGATTATTTCGAGGCAAGCTAGTGATAACCGGGTGGGAGCTGTTCTAGAGGAAGTTTTATATTTTTTTCATTCTCATCCGGGGTTGGGTATCCGGTTTGTAGGTCGGAAGAACAATAGGGTAGCTCACTTGGTGGCTAGGAAAGCCCTTTCTTTGTCTCCGACTATGATTCGGTGTTTTGATTTTCAGGCCTGGCTGGTTTCCAGGATGTAATTATCTCTTCTTGAATCAATATATGATTATCTTTTGTCAAAAAAAAAAAAAAAAAATTGAAAGAAACTCGTATATGTATCTTATACTACTTCCTGATATTTGGAATCCGAATTAACCTCTCTTTCCCTAACCTCCAAACTAATATAAATGCAACTCCAAATTCTTTCATAAATCCCTAGTATTGAAATTCCTGATCCAAACTACCCTAAATATTGCAGCACGCCACTGACAAATAATCAGGTTTACTCTTTTACTTCTTGTTATACAAAGCGGTAAGTAACCGATCACAAAAGGAGCTAGTTGACTTGTTATTATTCCACTTAGCTTAAGTGTGAGGGCCAATACTACCGTGCCGCTGTAAAAAGTGCGGCACTGGTGCCGCTGTTTTTGATTGGACCACGTGGATGGTAATGTGACATAGGTCGGTCATGTTTATTTCAAGGCCGAACCGGATCATTCGTTACCCAAATCGAAACTACCCAAACGGACGGAATTATTTTTGTCTTCTGCGTTTTCTAGTTTGGGTTATTTTCCCTCTCAATTTGAGATAACGAAGCAAAAGGGAAACAGCTCGTCGTCGATCTCCCTCTCCGGCGAAATCTCCAGAAGGAACGCCGGCGACTCCTCCATTGTCGATTCAATCTCAAGATCTACAAAACGGCTCCAGTGAAATCATTGTTTATTCCTCCTTTATTTATTCTGTAAAATGATGGAAATGAATCCCACGTCATCAGCGTCCCTCTGCAAGGTCCAGGAAGAGGATTTTAAGAACCAACAATCCAGGTATATCAACGCTTCGGCTGAATCCAACGACCCATATGTAAGTCCTAACTCCTTTGACTACGAGACCTCTAGGGATGATTTGTTTGGGGAGATTGAAGTAGCTATTGCCCTGATAAGGGAATCGTCAAACCGAACCCTAAGAAAGAATCTGTAGCAGGGAAAAACAGAAACGTTGTCAATGTAATTGAAGATCTGGAGCCAGAAGAAGTGGTGGACGTGGAAGAGATTGAAGACAGCAAGGTTTAATTGTGGATGCTTATTCTGATGGGGATGATGCCACTGGGATTTGACGAGGGAATTGATGAACGTGGTGGTAAATCCGATACTAGTGTGTAAAACCTGGGTGAGATAGTAATGCTGTTTTGCTTTCTTTAGCTGCTGCCTTTTATAGGTATCCCTTGAAAATGTGGTTGTGATTGGCATAACTGGGACAAATGGGAGGACAACCACTTCACATTCCATTAAAGCAATGTGCAATGCAATGGGGTTCAAAACTGGATGTTGAGTACAGTTTCTTATTATTTACATGGCGATACCAAATTGGAATCTCCTGACACATCTCCAAATTCTATGGTGGTTCAGGACTTGATGGCTAAGATGTATCATAATGGGGGAGAAGCTGTAGTGATGGAGGCATCTTCTTATGGGACAGAGGCGTAGTTGTAGATGTATCATAGTGGTTGTTGGGATTGATGTTGGGGGTCAATTAGAACATATTGTAAGAGGGATTGAAGAGATTGATGGAGTACCTGGTAGGTGTGAGCTAATATACGAGGAGCAGGTGTTTGGGGTGATTATCGACCGTGCTCATACTCCAGATGGGTTATCTAGATTGCTTGATTTTGAGCTTGGGCCTAGGAGGAATATCACTGCTAGGATTCCCGTTGACTAATATTTACATTCTTCTCATTTTCCTGCAACAGGTGCTGGATACTAAAGCTCTTTGTCTGATTTGTATTTAAGAGCCTCTAGTTCATAGGTAAAAAACTAAAAATTGTCATTTCTTTGATAAAGTTTGCTTGAAGATGAAGTCGTAGCGAGAGTGAATTGAAAGCTTAAGTGCAGTAATGACTGACTATCTTAGAAAGCTCAACTTTGTCCAACTTCAATTCTGTTAATCTGACTGCAGGTTTTATGAGCTCTTTTGCACCAGCAAAACCTAACAGCTACCATATGAAGGTAGGGACGCGAATTGTGGTGGAAAAGGATGTAGATCACAGTTTTGTAGGAAAATATGTTGTGTGACTGTATAGTGATTTCTTGACAGATTATATCAACACACCGGGATTGAAATTCTATATGTAGTTGGAGCCATCTCGAACCATGGCGTTGTCCTGAAGAAAAATAAAAAGGCTTATTGTTTTTTTTATTGATTACGACAAATCATTGTTCTTTCATTTTCTTGTTCTCTACTGTACCTTGAATAGTTAGTTTTGCATGAGGCTTTGTACAAGAAGACTTCTCTTCTGTTTTGTCTTTCCGATATATGGATTTATGGTCACAAATATGAATAAGCGTTGCAGGATAGCATATTTGGTATAAACTTATCAAGTTAAGGTCTATCTTACATTCAGCTGTACCAATAAATTAAGAAAAATGACTGGAAAATGTTGGTATAAATAGAGAGAGCAGAAGAAATGTCCTGATACTACTATTTTCTACGTGGCTTGTGATAATTCCTTGTTATCGAGTTCAACGTCCTTCGTAGCTTCAACTGCCTAATAGATGAAACAGTAACCAAAGGGAAAACAAGAAGGTTCATAAGAATAGGTAACAACACTAGTCGCAGAAAATTTTAAGTTCCCCAAAACACTCCTAGTGCATATAAGACAAGGACAGGAAGCACTCATGCAGGAACACTCCTTGTGATACAGTAGTTCCTAGCTTCAACATATAGTATAACAAACTATATGAATGGACAAAGATCGAGCAAGTAAGAGAAAACAGAGACAAGTATTAACTGGATCCTACAGAATAGAATACAGATGGTCTATCAGTTGTGCTTGCTGCAGAACATGGGTTGACATGATTTGATTCAATTCTGAAATTTCCACCATCATGGTCTCAGTTTGTTGAACTGCATCTAAGAGATTAGTCAACTCCATCTACCTAAGAAAGGGCGCAGCTTAGCAATCCGAAGTTTCTAAAGCATAAATTGGTAATATGGAAGTATACTATGGTGCATTTGTGCTGAAGATACTGAGCAAGTGCTATCAAAACAAAACTGGACCCTTGAAGTGCACGAGTTTCATCATCCAATAATTGTTGCTGAAGACTAGGGCGCTCCAACTGAGTTTCATTCGGCTCTTTCAGTTCTGGTTGATCTAGTATGTTAGATGCATCAGTAGAGCTTGAGTTTGTGACCCGCTTTTGTTTTCTTCTTGAAATCCTTTTATTAATAGCATCTGGGAAATTTATGGCACCTAACTTATCAAATTCTGATGGAAAATCAAGAAATTTCTAATCAAGGGCTTCTTGTTATTCATAAGAAAAAGTAGTTGAGCAACTGAATGACATTTGATATTCATTTTCTGGAAAGCTCGCTTCTTGTTTAATGCTGTCAGTCAGCCGGTACAAGGGAGCCAAGAAGAAGACGTTTCTCGGTTGTGGTTTTGTTTGATTGTTGGTTCATGGAGAAATAAAAATGAAATAAAATTTCTATTTAATGTTAAATTCATTAATTAACAGATCCGTCACTTTGGCCAGAATACGGTTTGGGCCAGTTCTTATGGCTATCGGGTTTAGGTTGGAGTTCCATAAACTCAGCCCATGCCACATCACTGCTTACGTGGTCCAATCAAAAATAGCGTCACCAGTGCCGCACTTTTTTATAGCGGCACCGTAGCATTGGCCAAGTGTGAGATGAGCTTCATATTGGGCTCTTAGTTTTTGTATACCGAACAACATATTGGGCTTTAAGTACCGTATCCGTGCATGTTTCCAAAAATTCGCTTTGATGTGCCCATGGCTTGATGGTCTTGTGCTACATTGGGCCTTGGCCCTTGAAGCCTTGTCGACGACAATACCTTTGGGGTCGTTTGGATGAGTTATAGATTGTGATGTGGTATTTGTGCACAAATAATGTATTTTTTGAGATTGTGGTATTTCAAAGTTATTTGAAGTTGTAATGTGGTATTTTAATTTTATTTGTCTTGTTTGGTTGAAAATGGGTTATTTCCTCCGGCCACCTCCTTCCACCGCCTGAAACTAAAAACAGATCTCATGCATATTCTGGAATCCCAAATTGGATAGTACCTCAAGCCCAATATAATACCAATCGACAAATTGACAAAAAGAGAACCATAAAGCAGCAGATGCGTAGCCCGAGCAGAGTTTGAAGAAAAGCAAAGAATGAAGAAAAGCAGGGCATTCTCGACCCAGAAAAACCTTCAACCTTCCACGTTCTAAATTCTGTAGAAACGCCCAAATTCCCCAGAAATCCCTAACTATAGATTCATGAAATTTTCAATTTTAGAAACAGAGAATCAAACTAAGAGAATGCCCTCAAGATTCTGCGGATGCAGTTCCAGAAACCCCCGAAATTCCCCATGAGACCCCCAAATCCCCCAGAAACCGCCAACGACACCCACCTATGTACGTTGACCGACGAACCCGCCTCTTTTGGCCGACGAACCCGCTTCCGTTCGTCAATCGCCGCCAATGAACCTGCCTCTGTCCGCCATTCGCCACCCACGAACCTGCCTCCGAACCAACATGTGTTTGCCAATCGCAGGCAACGAACCCGTCTCGGTCCGCCATTCGCCGCCAACAAAAAATGCCTCTGCTCGTCGCCAACGAAACCTAGGGTTCCGCCTACTTAAATTTGATCTGCATGCAACAAGGAATATAAAGGTAGCGAAATAATTGAGCGTCCCTCTATCAATTTTGTTTTGGGGCTGAAGGCATGGATGATTCGAAGAGAAGAGGAAAAAGGCAGGCGAGAGGAGAGAGGAGAGAGTAAAGGCGCAGATTGGGGACAGAAATAACACATACACGTTATTTTGAAATAACAGGGGGGGTGGGGTGTTATTTCAATTAATGCATTTTGCGTTATTTACAAATAACCCGACCCCCAAATAACTTGTTTAAATTTTGTGAAGCCAAACGAGTTATTTCGACCCAAATAACTCATTATGAGTTATTTCGGCCCAAATAACTCACCTAAATAATCTATCCAAACGACCCCTAGTTTTTGCCTGCTCGCCCGCTCCAAATAACTCACCTAAATAATCTATCCAAACGACCCCTAGTTTTTGCCTGCTCGCCCGCTCCGGAAATATCTAACCCGACACCGAGCTTTGGTTAATATGATATCCAACCGGCAACAGGTGGAACCGCCCACCTAAGTGACCAAACTACCCCCGCAAACATACTAAAATACCCTTGACTCTTACGTGTCACTCATCCATTGGTCTCAACTATACAGGAATAACACCCTCGCCACCGGCTGATAAAACCTCCCAAAACCCTAACCATCTTCTGCTCCTCCATCTCTGCCTTCGTTTTTGTGCACCATCCTCGACGGGAGCAGAGAATCAACGGCCACTAGGGTTTTAGCTATAATTGAGCAGAAGAGCCGAGCGAAGGAGAGAGGGTAGACTTCCGCTTAAGAAAAATGGTGGCTGACAAGGGGAAGAAGATGAAGGTGGAGAAGGGCGGCGAGGAGGAGAATCACCCTATCGATGAGGAGCTGGTTCTCTCCATCGAGAAGCTCCAGGAGATCCAAGACGAGCTTGAAAAGGTGCGATATGAGCAGTTCCTGTGCATGTTTTTATGTGGGTTCTAAATGCGTATGCAATTGCGTTCCTGGGTCTTCTTCAGATGGGTGCATGGTCTTTGCTCGGTTAATTGTGGCCTCTTGAGGTGGAATGATGAGAAATTAGTGAATTTGAGTTGGGATTTTTTGACGTTTGAATTGTCGGATGCGAGTTGAGCTCTCCAATTTCAGCTCGATGACAGCGTTTTCACCTTCCTCTGTCTAGTTTAGGGTATCTTTAGTCTCCAGGAGTAATCCTTGCCCTCCTTGGCTTTGTGATTCTTTTGTTTTTCTCTCTTCTCGTTTTGAAATATGAAGTTGCAGAGTGACACATTTTGGCCGAAATATAGGACCTTTCTTGTAAAGGTTTTGCCTTTCACACTGGCAAAGCTGTTAAATTGGACCCCAGGAGTGATGCATTGTACTCCTTGGTTTATCTCGTGGACCCTCAGTTCCAGTTTTTCCTCTGTTTAGTTCGCTTATTTCTTGGATTAACCTGCTTGCTTAAATTGAACCTGGAAAATATCTAATATATATTTTTCCTAAAGGACTGGAGCCACGTTAATAAATGACCTGGTAGCAGTGAAGATTGTGATGGTTTTTAAGCAGAAGTTTTTTTAGATTGGATGTCTTCTAACTTTTGTGAGTTTAATCCTGATTTTGTACCTTGTTTTGCATGCATAGTGTAAGCTGATGCAGGGAAGTTTCATATGTAAATTTTTTCTAGTTTGGTGGTTGGGAAGGACATTTTAGGTTTGTAGTTCACATTTTCTATCGTCTCTCTCTAGATAAACGAAGAGGCAAGTGATAAAGTGTTGGAAGTGGAGCAAAAATACAATGTGGTTCGCAAGCCAGTCTATGACAAGCGAAATGATATCATCAAGTCCATTCCCGACTTTTGGTTGACAGCTGTGAGTATTTCTTAAAAATTTACCAACTTATCTACATAGATGAATTTTAGCTGAAAATCTATTGAGAACTCAGCTAATGGATCCAATCCTGTTAATTGTGCAGTTTTTAAGCCATCCTGCACTTGGTAATCTTCTCAACGAGGAAGACCAAAAGGTGTGTTTCCGTGTCCCACTTGAACTGGATACTCAGTTATCAGTATTCCCTATCCTGCTTGAACATGCTGCCTGGTTTTCATATCTACTTGACATTTTGAACTTCAATACAATACTTTCTCTGTGGTTCTTCCACGCTCCACAGTTGTGTCTTACATGTTCTGTTTTTTTATGCCTTCTAGGTATTTAAACATCTGAGTTCTTTGGAAGTGGAAGACTTCAAAGATGTGAAGTCGGGCTACTCCATCACATTTGTAAGTTCATTTTCTCCTTCTGTTGTATTCTTTTGGACAATTACTCCTCTCCCCTAAAAAAAAAAAAAAGAAGAAAACCCCAATAACTACTTATGTTATACCTTCTTATCGCAGAACTTCGAGTCCAATCCGTATTTTGAAGATACAAAGCTCACAAAGACATTTACCTTCCTAGACGAAGGCACAACAGAAATTACTGCTACTCCAATAAAGTGGAAGGAAGGCATGGTAAGTTTATTGGTTTCATCTATTGAAATTCTGAAGTCCTGATTCGCTCTTGATGTAGCTTCAATTTGACATGTGAAGGGTCTGCCTAATGGGGTTAGTCACGAGAAGAAAGGAAACAAGAGGCCTTTGGCTCAGGAGAGGTTGGTTTCCATTTTCTCTATGTTAATTGAGCTTTAACCTTGAAAGGAGAATGATCTGAGTGGGAGAAACATGAGGTCGATTTCCTTTTGATTTGAGAGAAACGTGTTAGAATCTCTGTGCTTAATGTTCTGTTAAACAAAATCATTAGTGCTGTTATTGTCTTTCAAGTTTTTTATGAAAGCACAAAGGAGAGCTTCTTTATGGATTCTGTGCAACATGAAATCTGCCCCATGTCTCTTACTTTGTCAAATGCATAATGTAATCTTGGTTTCCAGTTCAATTCATGATTTATTTTTGCTATGCAGTTTCTTTACCTGGTTTAGCAATACTCAACCAAAAGACATGATGGATGATATGCAAGATGAGGTACAGTTCCTCTGTATAATCTGCTTTTGCTGGCTGTAGTTTTGGTTTTTCAATAATTTTCCTTCTACTTGTTGCCTCTTTTGCTGAAGCTGTTAATGAACTTGCAGATTGCAGAGATCATCAAGGAAGATTTATGGCCTAATCCCCTCTCTTATTTCAACAATGTAATTTTCTATTCCTTTGCTCCCGCAACGAGCCGTCGAAATTAAATGCTGTTTGAAGTGACACATTTTTTTTCTTGGCTACTGTTCCAATGTAGGAGGCCGATGAAGAGTTGGAGGTGGATGATCTTGAAGAAGAGGTAAACAATTTTTCACTTCTATTTTAAATGACTGACAAAGTATTTTAAGGGGGGCACACAATGGTAAAGGCAATTACTTTGGCGGGGTTAATTCCTGGCTTAAATCTCATTACCACCATTATGGAGGTCCCTCATCATTTTAATGGTACAAAATGAACTTGTACCATTAACGTTATGGTACAAATTCAGCTTGTACCTGTATTTTTTCATGCAAATTTCTGTATGGTACAAACTAAACATGTATCTTAACTTTTGTACCTACATTTTCATACAAATTTATGGTACAAACTAAACCTGTAATTTTAATGTTATGGTCAACTTTAATTTGTCATATACCTTTTTGTAAAATTTATGATAAAAACTAAACTTGTACCTTTAATGTTATGCTACAAATTCAATTTGTACCGGGAATGCTTCCAATCATAGTAATTGAACTTCTCAAATAGATACTTTCTTTCTGAAGCTAAAACCCATGTCTCTGAAAATGCAACTTTGTTTCTTTTAATTAAGAATCTATTCACAGAGATACCCATTTGGGGGTTCATTCAAATTGGTCATTCATAGTTGCTCTGGCACTTGAGTTTTGCAGCATTAATTAAATTTTTTCAATCTTACCCTGTCTTGAAATTGTTCCTCCTATCCCTGCGTAATTCACCAGGGGAAGTGTCCTCTTGAAATCTGCATAGATTAGTCAACTCTGCAATTTGCTTAGGTGTACTGGTTTTGTAGTTGGTGATTATCATGGCTTCTTTTCTGTCATCTTTGGTCATATCCAGTGTCTGGTTTTATGATTTGCTGGGCATGTTTCGGAGAATCTAATGCTTAGGACCATGGATACAGATAAATCCTTTCTAAATTGTTTGGCCAGTGAACCTCCTCTTCTTTGGTGGCCTGGTTTCTTATGTTTCCAAGTAATGTGGCAGGACAAGGAAGGGGATGACTCTGACGAAGATGATGACGAGCAAGACGACGACGATGAAGATGATGAAGAAGGTGATGAGTAGAAGAATGGCGGCATGTAGATGCAGTTGGGTTGGTGGGCCTGAAAGTTCATCACTTGATGTGGGGACTTTTGTGTAAAGTGGTTCTGGTGATGATTGCTCCAGTATCTGGTCATATGGAGGATAACGGGCCTACTGTACTAATTTCCTACAGTACTTCATTAGCAGTAGCGGCTCTCCCTATCTACCGTGCAGGCATTTTCGATACGAGTCTGTAGTTACCTTAAATTTGCTGAAATCCCTGTTTTGATCCTCTTTTGACGAGGCATCCTTTCTCTCTTCTTTTCCTGGTTTCCTCCCCCGGCTGTTCATCTTATGAATACGGTAGTCTAGTCTGTGATACTCTGTTCCAGGAGATAACTATAAAAACACCATTGTTCTTTTTCCATTCTACTATGTCGTGTAATGTAATAGTTTCGTGGAGTGTTCTAATTTATCAGCAACTATTATGTGTTGGAAGAAGGCAAAGAAGAGTAAGAAGAACAAGCAGAATAAATTGGGTTTTGGAATCCATGAATATTCGCTAATTAAAACTTTTATCTTTATTGATTGACTTGAGACCAACTTAATCATAATAAATGATAAATGATAGTTGGCCACAATGTAGGACAAATTTAAGGGGGGAGATAAAGATGACAGAAACAAAAATATAAAGTCAGGCTAGCAAGAAAGAAACTTTTTTTTTTTTTATAGTAAACGTGAAACAAACAAGTTTCATATTATAAAAAGGTGTTGCGGAGAAGCTTCATCCTCATCACCCCAACATTGCCTAAACTTCATTGACATGTTCTATCCAAGCTTATGATCGAATGACCAAGGGGGTATGTTGGTTATTTGATTTGTTTTCTCTTTGGACAAGACATAGAAACCAGAGACCCACCTTTTTATAGTCTATTTAGTTTTTTCAACAGATTTTCTTGAGAATTATTGGGGGTTGTTCCTGGTTTGGGTAGTTGCTAGGAAGATATGGGTGGGCAATCAGTGGATTTGGTCTCAAATTGACCCACTTGCTTGCTAGCGAATTGGTATAATTGTAACCTGTTTTTTAACTTGACCCACTCGTTTACTGGCGAATTGGGTTGGGTGAGTGGTGGATGAGTGCGATTGTGTTGTGGTTTAACCCACAAAAGCAATTCTCCAACTAGCCATTAAGAAAGTTGACAGTCAATTATAATAAGCTCCTCGCAAATTAGTAAGATTGTATCAATTTAGACAATTCTCGCTTTGTCTCATGTCGATTTGTGTAGTACTTGCATAAAAAAATTTCATTACCCCATCAACCAATTGTGTGGAGAAAAACTGACGCATTTTGCGACTTTGATTATCAATTTACAATCTACCCATATCAATCACCCGCTAACTACAGTCAAATTATTTGCGGATGGATCAATATCAAAATGCGGATTAAACCACCAATGTAAACTGGGTTGCTATGATAAGTTGGATATGAAGCGCAAAGATATGCTCTGGCTTTTGGAGGTACTGTTAAAGGATTGAAGGGCCTGCTAATGAAGATTGTTTTTTTTTTCTTTTCAAAAGGGTGCAAGCACCTGCTAATGAAGATTGTTGATGTACTGGGTTTAGCCCAATTGTATATATGTATCTCATTATAGGTTTATAGTGTGTTGGACTGGGTTTCCGAGGCCGTTAGGCTAAGTGGACAGCTAAGGGTTACGTTGCATGGGGTTAGGGTTTGGAAGAGCAACTATAAATATCACATTATGCGGCTGTATCTCCGAATTCGATTACACAGAGAATAAGATACAAGGCCGGAGAGGCTACTCTCCCGTTGACTAGTCCCGAATCTCGGGGGATACCACGTATATCGTGTGTTTTCGATTCTTGTTTACGTTGATTAAGTTCGATTTATCAACATGGTATCAGAGCTTTCGTCTAGCGATTCCGATCGTCTTATCACCTGCTTGAACTCCAAGAATTACACAGTCAGGGAGCTCCAGTTTCGTGTTTACGTTGAAGGAAAGGGCTTGTTTGGCTTGATTGATGGAACGTTGCCCAAGCCTACTGCTCCGGCTATCGCTGATGCAATTTCCAAATGGTCTCAGCAAGATGCGACGGTGAGATCCCTGATTCTGGGTTCGGTTGATCCCACCCTCGTCCTTGGTCTTCGTTTGTTCTCTGATGCACGATCGATGTGGAGGCACCTGGCCACTACATACTCGTCGCATAACATGGCTCGTCAGTTTGAAGGTCAGACCGCGCTTGATCGTCTTGTTCAAAGAGATACAGATGTTTCTGCTTATTATATATAATGCCACCCAGGAGTTGTGGACTGAGCAAGATTTACTCACGGCAGCTCTTCGTTCCACGCAAGCCTCCGCGGAAGTCGTCGAGGATCGCCGACAACAACGTGTCTTATAGTTCTTGATGCGTCTTCGTCCTGTGTTCGAGGTGGTTCGCTCGCTCGACTCTTGTCAATCAGGATGTTAACTATGGAAGGAGTTTTGGGCAAATTGATGCGTGAAGAAGCCTCGGAAACCTATGTCATCACAGCAGCTACACCTGGCTCCGCACACAGCTGCAACTTAATGCTCGACCTGGTGAGGAAGATGTTGTCTTCTCCGCTACGCCGCTTCCATTGGGATCCCAGGGTGCTCAAGAGTCCGCCTTTGCAGTAGGGAGACCTCAGTTCCATCAACGTATCCCTATTTCCCAACTCGAATGCCACCACTGCCATGTGAAAGGGCATCTACAAAAGCACTATCGACAGCGTAATTTTTGCGTCTATTGCAAAAAATCTGATCACATTGTTCGATCTCGACTGTCCACCTGCCAAGAATCGACGTCGTCCCACTGGTGGATCTCATTCTGATGCGCTATATCCTGCCGCCTCCAATCCAGTGTTCGTGCTCAAGCCACGTCTCCGACTTCTGGTTCCAGCCTCACGGTTGAGGGGTTAGTTAATGTTGCGCTCCAACGCTCTCTTCCCACTGCCCTTAGCTCGACATTTACTTCGTTGCAAACCTCAGGTATACTCAAACCTTGGCTCCTTGATTCAGCATGTTTTAACCATATGACAAGTGATATAAGTTGCTTGAAGAATGTATCTCCTGTTCAGAACTTGTCTCTTCAGGTAGCTAATGGTCAACGATTAAACGTTGCGGGTATTGTAAATATTACTCAACCGTCTATTGCGCTTCCTCATACCCTTCATGTTCCTCAATTATTTCCTAACCTTGTTTCCGTGGGACAGCTTACTGAACAAGGCTATCGGATTGTGTTTGCACCATCTGGTTGTGTTGTGCAGGACGAGGCGACGGGGAGGCAGGTCGGACGCAGGAGTAGACATGGATGTGTTTTTCACTTAGAGGAGCTCTCGGATCAGCCACCATCGCGTCAGTCTTCGCTTGAATCTCGTTGTCCTTCGAAATCTGTTTTTTCGTGTTATGTCTTTTCGAGTTTAGTTGATCAAACATTCAATCTCTGGCACTCTTGTCTTGGTCACCCTCATTCGAGTCGGCTTGTATCCATGTTCAAATAAAATTTGCTTGGTAATAATTGTAGACACCACATTTTGTTCGGATTTCGACCTCTTAGATATTGAACTTTTTCAACAATCTAAAGTGCAGCGTGATTGGAATTATCTGCAAACAACAACGAAGTTAAGAATTGAGAAGTATCACAATTTGGGTTTTCCTATTAGAGGATTTGATCAATGAGAAGATTTGTTCAATGTTGGAAGCCAAGGACGAAAAGAAATCGTTCACAAAATTGAAGTCTATTACAAAACGACACTACAAATTTTGGATTTGCGTATATTACTAAACAATCCCTAATACATTGGGCTAAATTTTGACTTGTATCCAAACTTGGCCCAGCACAAGGAAGCCCAGATCAGCAGCCTGCAAAACAAAAGAGATGAAAATCAGCCCACAGTTCAAAGACCAATCAAGCCCAGGGCTCGGCCCGAATTCAAGCCCATTTCGAGCCCAGCGAAGCCCATCAACAAGCCAATTACAGATCCAATCGGCCCAAACGCAACAAGCCCAACTCAGCCGTATCCAAACCCATTGCTACCCATCTTATCTCGAGATTCCACATTTCAATAAAGGACAGAAATTTTGAAGACACCGCCTGAAAATCAGCCAATTACACGACATGTGTCGCTTTCTTTTGCTATTAAAGAGCTCTTGGACGGGGTTTTTAGAGGAGATGGGAGGCGAAGAGAAATAGTGAGCAGATATAGAGAAATATTTTTCAGAAAATTTTCTTCCTTTTTGGACATGATTCAAAGTTGTAAATGTTTTTCTTCCTTTTTGGACATGATTCAAAGTTGTAATAGTTGATGATCTACTTGGAAATCTAAAGTTGCCCGCAAGTTCAAAGTTGTAATAGCTGAAGAGTAAAGATTTCTGGGATCCAAGGTTGCCAATCAGGTTGGTGCTTGTAAACCGAAAACTTTTTCATTGAATGACATAGCGCTTACTTTTCACGATTTAATTCTTGTGGAATCCACCTTCTGCTTCCTTCATATTGCTACTACTATGTGCTTCTATGGGTTTCGCTTAAGCACTTTACTATCCAGATTAAGCTCGTTTCAATTGTGCATTTGTTTGTCTTTCTCATACCGTCAATTTCTATGCTACTCTAAATCCCTGCCATGCTTTCAGATTCCCTTCTTTTTTAGTACTTGGTAGACAAATATTAGATCATCATGCACAAACAAATTAAAGAACTCAATAGGCAGCGGTCGATAAGATGAGCAAAAACTAGATCCAATGAAAAATCACCGTAGCATAATAAATTTCAGATTCACAAACCATCAACAACCTTCAAACCAGCCCTACCATAGCAAAAATCAAAGGAAGTAGTAGTGACTTCTAATAGTCAAAATTAGCAATTTAGAGCATGTTAATTACGTCAAAATTACAGAAAAATCACCTTTAGCAACTCCTAATATATCAAGAGTCACTTCGAAAACCCAGTTATTATAATACAATTAGTAAAAACTACTTTCTAGATTTAGTAAATAGCAAATAGCGGCTGCTATGCTTAAAGGGGGAATGGATCAGGTCAGTAACCTTACGGTGAGTAACTATGAGTAACCCGTCCACATCAGCATGACATCAGCATCCTCTCTCTTATGGAAAGCCTTTAATTTTTCCCTCTTTAATCTTTGACGGACGATTTCTCGCTCATTTTAAGTCCAAATTTAATTTTTTTTGCACAGTTAGATCAGATTAATTGTGCTCTTCAAAATGATATTCATTTTAATATATTTTTCGAACAAAAAAAATTGAGCCATTTTTTACCAGCCTATACCATATGGTATTGACTGGTATTGAAATAAAAGCATACCTATGTTTTGAAAAACGTACCATGGTGGTATGAACAAACCAATACTATAGGATGGTTGAATACATGATAGTAGAAGTATATTAATTGTAATTTACGACTTTTAACATTGTATACCACACAATACCACCCCGTACCAGGGTGGTATTGTATGGTATTGTGTGCTATTTTTTTG